CCCCCCCCCCCCCATTACAAGATTACAATCCCTCTCTCTGAGGCTGCTCAGCGCCTTGTACTTCCACCTAGCTCTACCCTCACTATGTTGGCTTGGGGTCATTTGTCTGGGGATCTTTTTACCATAATCTCTATCCCAGTGACTGTCATAGAATCTGGCACAGAATGTAATATGTAAGTGAAATATAAGTGTTTCTTGGATGAATGGATGGAAGACACCATCTCTGTCCTTTGGAACCTTTTGACTTTAAAAGGCTGGCCAAGGCCCTACCCTGGGAGGCTTCCATCACATGGAGGAGGTGGAACGCTCACAGTGGGAAAATCAGGTTGAGTTGCACCCAGAGCATCACTCCCACAGGGCCCCGTCTGAAGTCAGCCAATGGCATGGGCACAGAGGGTACCTGGGAAAGGGATTTCTGGTTATGAGGCCCCTGGGAGGTGAGGCACATGGGCTTTGAAATGTGTTGGGAAGGAGGGCAAGACAGGCATGTGGGGTAGAGGTTATTGACTCTGAGAGGGCACAAGTGTGGGCTGGAGAAAGGAGCCTCCATGTAGGAGCCACACAGGCTGTAAGCCATGTGACCCTATCTGATTAAGAGCAAAGGTGGGGACCATGTGAGAAGATCAAGAATGCTTCCCTGTGACCCTGCAGGGGCCAGTGCCTTCCTGGCCTTGTTGCTGCATGCCCTGGAGATCCAGAATCTGAGGATGAAGCCCAGCCCCCTTGAGTTCTCAGTGCAGTGGCCTTACTACATTCTGGGCTTTGCCATCCTTCTGTTCATAGTGGCTGGTGAGTAGCCTGGGGTTGGTGCCCTTCTCCCTGCCCTCTGTCTGGATTCAGAAGCCAAGGATACTCTAGAGCAGTGCTGTCCAAAATTCTGGTCACTAGCTACTTGTGACCATTTAATTACTTAAAATGAAATAAATATAAATTCAGTTTCTCAGTCATGCTAGCCACATTTCAGATATTAAGTAACCACATTATTATGTGTCTAGGGGCCGCCATATTGAATATTGCAGATGTAGATATTTCCATCATTGTAGAAAGTTCTACTCAACAGCACTGCTCTAGAGCCTCATCCCTATCTCCCATCTTCCTCCTCCTTGACTTTGGAACCAACCTCCAGATTTCTGTCCTACTTTGTCCTGGCTCCTACGGATTTCTATGTCTATCTTTCTCCCTATCTTGGAATCTACAATCTTATTCACCTCATCTTCACTCTGCCCTCTTATTTCATATACCATCACCATCTAAGTCTCAATCCTATTTCATTTTGTCCTTTTTCTTAATCTTCTTCCTGCTATATTAACTTGACCCATGACATAATCTATGTTAACTTGATTTTATTATCCATTGAATATATAAAAGCATTTATAATATATGAGGCAGGTAATTAAAAATATATGTACCCATTTCAACCATATAGTTTAAGAATTAGCCATATTTTATTTTTTTTAATAGTTTTTATTTATTTTTGAGACAGAGACAGAGCATGAGTGGGGGAGTGGCAGAGAGAGAGGGAGACACAGAATCTGAAACAGGCTCCAGGCTCTGAGCTGCCAGCACAGCAGGGCTCGAACCCACAAACTGCAAGATCATGACCTGAGCTGAAGTCAGACACTTAACTGACTGAGCAACCCAGGCGCCCCTTGAATTAGCCATATTTTAATGAAATCCATTGTTTGTAAGTTATAGCCTTATTTTATGTACCACTGAGAAAGAAAAAAGGATGCCAGGAATGATTCTAAGGTGCTCTAGCTTATAAGGCGCATCCTCATTTCAGAGATGTTAAAATGTGAAGAAAACTGGCTTATCAACATTAATGAAATATGGTAGAATATTAAGTATCTTTGAAGTCCTCTCCCTTCAACCATGTGACTCTTCCTGATCTTGTCTTCTTCTTTCCCTTCAGGAACCAATTATTCTGCAATTTATGATAATCATATTACTATACACATGCATATCCTTAATATATTACTTAGTCTTTCCTGTTTAAAAACTTTGTATAATCATACTGTGTTTATTCTTCTGAAACTTGTTACATTTGATCAACATTATAACCTCCATGGTTCATTTGTTTTTACCATCCTTCCCGATAGAAGGAGCACGTGGGAGAATTTTAAGCTCACAATTCAGTTTCTTTAACAACTATAGGACTATTCAGGTATTTTATTTCTTCTTGAGTTAGTCTTGGTAATTTATACATGTCTGTAAATATATACATTTTATTTAAAATTTGAAATTTATCGGCATAAGTTTATTCAAAATGTTTTCTTTTTTAACTCTGTATTTTGTGATGCATCTGTAGTGATGTGCTTCTTTTTTCATACCTAATTTTCCCTTTTTTTCATTGCCAATTTTGTCAGAAGTTTACCGTATTTTTAATCGTTTCAAAGAACCAGCTTTTAGTTTCTTTTTTTTTTTTTTTTAATGTTTTATTTATTTTTAGGAGAGAGAGAGAGACAGACAGCGTGAGCAGGGGAGGGTCAGAGAGAGAGGGAGTCACAGGCTGAAACAGGCTCCAGGCTCTGAGCTGGCAGTCAGCACAGAGCCCTACGCGGGGCTCGAACCCACGAACTGCGAGATCATGACCCAAGCGAAAGTCGGACGCTTAACCGACTAAGCCACCCAGGCGCCCCATAACCAGCTTTTAGTTTCTTGAACCTTCATGGCTTATGTTTGTTTTCTATTTAATTAATTTTTAGTTCTTATTTTGAACTTCCTTCCCTACTTCTTTTTCGCATTTATTCTGCTATTCCGTTTCCAGCTTCTTAAATCAGGATCTAAACTCATGGCTTACTTCTTCTTTTCTAAGTAGGCTATTAAAGCTCTAATTTCCCTGTAAGATTTGCTTTATTTGCATCTCCCATTTTCATATGTAGTAGTTTATGTTATTGTTTTATTTCAAATATTTTGTAGTTCCCCTCATGATTTTTTGGATCCATGAATTATTTTAAAATATACTTTTAATTTCCAAGCATATAATTTTTTTTTATTGTATCATTGTGTTAGGGATTTTAACTTAATTTCAGTTTGATGAGAGATCATGGTCTGGATAATCCTAATGTGTTCAGATTTATTGAGACGTGTTTTATAGCCTAGTTTGGGGTCCATTTTCCTGTTTTATGTTGAATGCAACTTTTCATTTATAAACATTAGATCAAGCTTGTTTATTATATTGATCAAATCTTGATTTAGAATTTCCGGAGTCCTGCTCCGGCAGGTGCAGGGTCCCTGAAAGATGGATGGTGTCAGCAAGAGAGGGATGAGAGAAGCACAAGATTCTTTCTGGTCACCAGCCAGGCCTCTCTGCACTGTCTGAGTGCAGACTCAGACTTTATTTTATGGTTTAGTGTTTGGGGGACAGCACAGAAGTGGCATTCTGATGGTAAATTCTTTTATCAGTAGGAACTTTCCAGAACAGAGGTGCCTGGGTGGCTCAGTCAGTTGGGCGTCTGACTTCGGCTCAGGTCATGATCTCATGGTTCATGGGTTTGAGCCCTGCGTCGGGCTCTGTGCTGACAGCTAGCTTGGAGCCTAGAGCCTGTTTCAGATTCTGTGTCTCCCTCTCTCTCTGACCCTCCCCTGCTCGCACTGTCTCTCTCTCTCTCTCAGAAATAAATAAAACATTAAGAAAATTTTTTAAAAACTTTCCAGAACATTGATATGCATAGGTGTATGGGGAACAGCCCAGAAGTGTCATTAGCATAGTAAAGGCAAAAGTTAGTTCTTTGTGAGCAGCGGTCAATAGTCTGTTTATCACTTAATGAGAGGTATTAAGAAAAACAGGTCTTTCAGGAACACAATGTTGCTCCCATAACCACAAAAGAAGTTCCTACAGTAAATTCCTTCACAAAGTGCAATCAGCATATCAAGGCCAGAATGAGTCACTCTGAATACCATTCAACAAGGTGCCTTTGGGGGTCGGTGCTCAAGCAGAAACAATTGAGTGGGAGTGGATATCGGTCACCATCTGATGGTAAGAGTCCATGCAACTTACCTTAACCTCACAAGGAGTTTTTTTCTCAACTTATGAGTTCAGAAATGGCTCCCAACAAGAATTGTTCTATTTTACTGGTGAACTGAACTTTTATTTAATTATGCCATGATCTTTTTTATTTCTAGTAATCCCTTTTGTTAAAGTCTGTTTTATCTGATATTACTCTAGCTATTTCTACCTTCTTTTTTTTTTTTGAAGTTGGTATGATATCCACTTTATTATTTCTACATTCTTTAGGTTAGTATTTGCCTGCTATATATCTTTTTGATCTTTTACTTATATGTAACAATAGCTTATAATTGTATTTTTTTCATCTAGTCTTACAATCTTTGCTTTTTTTAATGTTTATTTATTCATTTTTGAGAGAGATTGAGAGTGAGAGAGAGAACACAAGAGAGAGAGAACACAAGTGGGGGAAGGGCAGAGATAGAGGGAGACACAGAATCCAGGCCCTGAGTTCTCAGCACAGAGCCTGATTCAGGGCTCAAACTCATGAACTGTGAGATCATGACCAGAGCTGAAGTCAAACGCTCAACCCACTGAGCCACCCAGGTGCCTCTTACAATCTTTGTCTTTTAACTGGAGCATTTATTGTTGATTGACGTTTATTGTGACTACTGATATATTCATTCCTTTTTTAAAATTTTATTTTATTTATTTTGAGAGTGGGAGAGAGAGTGGGGGTGGGGCAGAGGGAAAGGGAGACAGAGAATCCCAAGCGGCCCCAGGCTGCCAGTGGAGCGCCCCATCCAGGGCTCGATCTCACGAACTGTGAGATCATGACCTCAGCCAATATTAAGAGTTGGACACCTGATTGACTGAGCCACCCAGTTGCCCCATATTTGTATTTTTTCTACCACCTTACTTTGTGCTTTCAATTTTTTCTGCTCCCCACCCCCACCTCTCTTGCCTTGCTTCTGATTGATTGATTTTTGTCTACACAGTTCTCATTATATCCTCCCCCTCTTAAACTTGGAAGTTATGCAGTATATTTGTATTCTTGTAGTAGTTACTCTTGACATTTTAACATGCTTACTTAACAAAGTTGGAAGTTCATCAACATATTTATTCTCTCCATAAATAATATAATGTAATGCTCTTGTATTTATACTATATGTTATTTATATCCTCTTCTGAACAATGTTTTAGTTTTTTCTGTTTTCTTTTTAGTTCTATATATTTGACATTATTATTACTTTATGCATTTAATATTTGTTTGTTTAAATTTACCCACATATTTATCAATTTAGTTGCTCATCAAACCTTCTCAGAGCTTCTGTCCAAGGACCCTCTGTCCTTCTGCCTGAAATACATCCTTTATAATCTGTTTTCGTGAGGTTCAGTTAGAGATACACTCTCTCATGTTTTCTTTGTATGAAATTATTTTCCTTTCATTTTTGTTTACTAAAATTAATTTTGCTGTACTTTTTTTTTAGATACTATTTTTTAAGTTTATTTATTTATTTTGAGAGAGAGAGCAGGGTAGGGGCAGCAAGTGAGAGAGAGAAAGAGTGAGAGAATCCCAAGCAGGCTCTGCACTGTCAGGGCAGAGCCAGATGTGGGACTCAAACTCACAAACTGCAAAATCATGACCTGAGCCAAAATTAAGAGTTGGATGCTTAACCAACTGAGCCACCCAGGTGCCCTGCCGTATTTAACATTTTTAAGTTGACAGTATTCCCACAGTATTCAAGATATTATTATATTGTTGCTTTCCCACTTCCATTGTTCTTGTTAAGCTGACTCTGTAAAATTATCATTCTTTTGGGTCACCTGGGTGGCTCAGTCATTTAAGTGTCAGACTTTGTCCCAGGTTATGATCTCAAGGTTCATCAGGCTCTCTGCTGTCAGTGTAGAGCCTGTTTCGGATCCTCTGTCTCCCTCTCTCTCTGCCCTTACCCAACTCACTCACGTGCTCTCTCTCTCTCTGTTAATAAACATTAAAAATGTTTATTTATTTTTGAGAGAGAGAGAGACAGAGTACAAGCGGTGGAGGGACAGAGAGAGAAGGAGACACAGAATCTGAAGCAGGCTCCAGGCCTCAAACCCTTAGCACAGAGCCCACCGTGGGGCTCAAACTCATGAACCATGAGATCATGACCTGAGCTGAAGTTGGAGGCTCAACTGATTGAGCCACCCAGGTGCCCCTGTATTATTCTTTTTGGTTCAATCTTTGTTTTCTGTAAGACTTTCCTTGGCATTTTGCAGAGTGTGGATATTTGTGTTATGATTTATGGTGTGAACTGAGTCTGAGGAGTGATGTCTTTCAGAATTTCTCAGACATTTTTATCTTCTATCTATGTTGTTTCCCTCTCTTTTCCAGGAAGACATATGTTAGACTTTCTTACTCTAGTGTGTATCCTGTTTATCCTCTTTTCCCTTGCTTTCCATCTCTTTGTCTTTCTGGGCTGTATTCTGAATAACTTATATAGATGTATCTTCAATTTAATCCATTCACTTTTTAGCTGTGTCTGATCTGCTATTTAACTTATCCATTATTTTAGTCAATCTCTTTTCATAACCAGAAGTTATATTTTTCCTTAGTTCTTGTTATTTTTTTATACTCTTTTCTCTACTTATATTTTTAATCTGTTCTATAAATATATTTTTATTATACATGTTAAACATACTTTACATCCTGTGTCTTATACTTTACATTATAAGTTTAACAATTGAATGATATACAAGTCTCCATGTGTCAGCTGCTGTTTTTGCAGGCTTTTGCTTGTGGTGTCTTAATTCTTGGTATGGTTGCTTTTTTTAAAAAAAATTTTAATATTTTATTTATTTCTGAGAGAGAGAGAGACAACGTGAGCAGGGGAGAGTCAGAGAGAGAGGGAGATACAGAATCCGAAACAGGCTCCAGGCTCTGAGCTAGCTATCAGCACAGAGCCCAACACAGGGCTCAAACCCACGAACCGCAAGATCATGACCTGAGCTGAAGTTGGACGCTTAACCAACTGAGCCACCCAGGCGCCCCATGGTTGCTTTTTTTTTTTACTGTGAATTATTTCCCTTGAAAAAAAATTTTTTGTGTGGAAATTCTTTGAGGCTTGTGTATAAAGTATTTTCTCAAAAAGGGGTTTGCATTTGTTTTTGCTTGGTGCTTATATGCACAACTAGCCTGGAATCACAATAGGTATTGTGTACTTGCAGACCCATATAACAGCTAGCCTCTGTTTATGAATCCTTAGTCAATCCTGGTAACTTCGAAGTCCTAGCTTTGTATACCCTTGTTCATTCCTCATCTCGAGCAGGTCCTGGGCTTTTTCTTTTGTTTTCTGTGTCCCAAAAGGCCAGCAGAATGGAAATTCAGGGTCACCTGAGTTGAGTGTATGTCTCCAAGGTGAAGGCTAATTGTGTGCTTGCTTAACCCTCTAGTTTCCTGTTTTCATTAGGGTTTTGTTTCTAAGAATGCCTTGTTCTGACGCCAGTTTGACAATATATTTACAAATTAGTTTTTGAAGAAAAATCTTATTTAGATTTATTGTCATTTTTAGTGGGAGGGTATGTAGTTTGCTATATTGCTGAAAATAGAAGTTGTCTTTTATCTGAGTCTTAACCTTAATACAGCATTTACTATTCACAAGATGTCTTGATGTTTTATTACATCAATTCTCTTTTTCCATTTTACTTTACTGGGGGTCTTGTGTTGGGCATCAAAAAGCCTGTGTTTTGTGTTTGACCATCCTCTCTTAAATCTCTTTTTCTTACCTATTAATAGTTAGACAGTTGCTAAGATGCCTTCCAGCACTGGCTGTGGTTCTGTGAGTTTGTCCATCTATGTGTATGCCTTGCCTTGTGATGGGTTCTGTTTTCCCATCTTTCTCTGTAATTATTTATATCAGAGGAGAGAACTAGGGAAGGTAGGTGTAGATCAGAGGGGGTCACACATTAAAGGAGGGAGCTCCTGACCTCTAGCGCACAGCGAGATCAACTCACTCTAACCTGACCTGAACTTTTGCTCTCACCCAGGTGCCATCTGCCTCTTTCAAGAAGCAACCAGCCTTCGCTGTCATTTGTTGCCCAATTCCCAGAGTATCCAGGAGACCCAGGGGGTCATACACCTGGAGAATATGGAGAGTCTGGGAGGAGACCTGAGCTCAATACAAAAGGAGACACTGTTGAAGGAAGAAACAATTATCTAGTCCAGTAGAGTGTTCTCCACCATCGGCAGCTGTGGGAGTGAGCATATGGAGGTGTGAGCAGCAGCCAGTTTCTGCTGCTTTGGGTGAGCTTCCTGAGTGTCAGATCAACACTCCACTTCCGTACACTCACAGTGATTCTGTCTTGCTTGTATTTGCAATTCACTAAAAAAGGTTTTTTTGAATTTACTGTGTTTCCTGAGTGGTGTATTTTTTTTGTTTTTGTTTTTGTTTTTTTTGTTTTTGTTTTTTGAGTGGTGGGACAGGTATATTTTCAATAAAAGGACTACTGTCTGTTAATCCATACCAGCTTGGAGGACAGAGGGGAGGAAGGAATATTGCAAAATGGTCAAATGAAGTCAGCTTTTGTAAAACAAAATGAACAGAATATAACCACAACATAAGGTGTTTGAGGTACTGATATTAAAAAGAAAAAAGTGATGTCCCTAGACAAAGGTGGGACTCAGTTCAGGAAACTTCCTGTCTGTGTTGGAGGGAATGGTTGGGAGCTCAGGATTGAGCTCCCAGATCTGGAAGTCTGAACCTCATGGGTCTATGCCCTGGAGGAAGCAAAGGCAAGTTAGCCAACATGGGTGTTCCCTCCTCTCACTAGAGCCAGAGACCTCCTGAGAGCATTTCTAACATGCCCCCCTTCACTGTCCTCCTTGTGCTTACAGACTGGGGAGCTCTCAGCTCCCAGCTAGGATGGGTGTAGCTGGGAAGTACAAATGCCTCAGGACAATGAAGGGGATAGAACAGCTGCCCAGGGCCTCTGCTGGCTTCATATTTAGCCTTCATCTCAACAATACCAATCAGTAACTCCTCCCCACTTTACTCTCTCTAGAACACAGAGGTGGGAAAAGCTCTTCCAACTTAAGCAATGCAATTTCAGAAACAAGTATGGTGAGCCATGTATATCTTTTGGGAGGGGCATGTGTTGGACCAGGCTAGAGTCAAGCGGGCTTTGCTGTGACAGTTAGCCAATGGTCGTTAAAGGTGTGTTGTGGAAATCTGGTCTGGGTCAGTGGTGGAAGAACCAAGTGGCACTCGGAGATCTTAGAAGGGAGGAGGTTTATTTTACACCAGTGGGCTCAGAGGAGATCATTCTCAAGAGGTCTGAGCCCAGAGCATCAGCAGAGAGAGTAAATTCTAGCCTGTTACTTCTGCATTCCTCCTTAGCACATGAGACCAGCAGTGTGGGAAGAAGAACCCAGAAGAGGGAGACTTTGATCAGGGACAGGTATTTCCTTATCAGTCCTACTGGCCATCTTATAATAGATTTTTCCCTATTAGGTGAACCTTGTGCCATGCACCATGGGGGCTATTTCCTGTCCTTCAGAGGCTCACACCCAAGCAGAGAAGCTAAGACATATACACCTGAAAAACAACCAGTTGGTGTTTTAGAGTGTTTTTAGTGTCTTACCACATTTCTCTCCAAAAGGTATCTTGAGATATAGGGATATGGTGACAGCATAGTTCTAGTCTGCCCACTTTTCCTCCTAAAAAACAACCAAAAAACCTATACAGGAATTATAATTATCAGTGAAACTAGGAAACTAGAGAAAACTTACAAACTCTAAAATATGTAACTGCAGCCCAAAGCACTAAGCTAGCAGAACCAGTATGGGGAGCCACAACTGGGAGACCAGCATGGTGGGCGAGGTGGAGTGGGTGAGAGAATACATAGAGGCCCTAGTGGTGGCAAGCTAAAAAAGCCATTAGCAAATACAAACCTTTAGATATCTGAGAAGGACTCACCTTGTGAGGGAATGGCTATGAACATGGTAGGGAACAAGGTGTGTGTGTGTGTGGGGGGGGTACTTGTGCAGAGAAGTTGTACTTGTACTAACTTACAAGTGCCTGGGAGTCTATCAAAGGAAATTATTAAGGAAGCACCACTTTCTAAAAGAGAGACCACCTGGGAAGGTGGATGACAGTATCACTTGGTAGCAGTGACTGGGAGAATGGAAGGAATGAAAGAGAGTGGTAGTATGAACCCTCTGAACCAGGTTAGGATGGAAGAATCCAAGGAATCCTGGATACATAGGGAACTATATATTAAAGAAAGTGTCCTTCCATGTAGCATTGGAAGAGTCCTCACACTGAGAGGTGGGGAATGCTCTGCTTCCCTGACTCTCCTTTGTGAAAGCAAATAGGTGGAAATGAAACTCCTTCAAATAAAAGAGTAAAACAGCAATATCCATACAAAGGTGTTCTTTAAAAAAAAAAAAAAGGCAGAAAGAAGGGACACCTGAGTGCCTCAGTTGGTTAAGCATCCGACTTCAACTCAGGTCATGATCTTGTGGTTTGTGGGTTTGGGACCGCATCGGGTTCTGTGCTCACAGCTTAAAGCCTGGGGCCTGTTTTGAATTCTGTGTCTCCCCCTACATCTCTCTCTGCCCCTCCTCCATTCTCTCTCTCTCAAAAATAAATAAACATTAAATTTTTCTTAAAAAAGCAGAAAGAGAAGTAAAAGTATGGTTATGAAGAAAACTCACCAGAAACATTGCCACAAAGTAGAGGAAAATTATAACACAACATTCCAAGATAAATTTAAACACTTAATGAAACAATTGCAGCTAGGGGGAATCAGAATTATAGGAACTCAGAGAAGAAACATTCTGACAACAGAAGGTGAGAGCCAGATAACAGGAATATGACAGGAGAATGGAGAGAATTCAGGAAATAACTGGAAAAAGGAAAGAAGACTAACTTACAAGAAGCACCAGAGACAGGAGATACTGGAACAGTAAGAGGCATAAAGCATAAGGATAGTAAAAGTGAAGAAAACGAAATAAAGAAATGAAAACGATTAGTGAGAATGTGGAAGCAATAAAAGGGTAAAAGAGATCCAAGATATGTAAAATTGGAGACCCTGAAGAAGAAAACTGAAATAAAGGGACAAAACAAATATTTAAAACCAAAATTCAAGAAAATTTTCCTGAAGTAGATTTCCTTTCTATTGAAAGGGGTAACTTTTACTTGGGACAATTGATACAAAATGATCAATTCCTTCCATGATGGGGCTGTGCTTTGTTGTTTTGTTTTGTGTTTTATTGTAGTACATAGTTTCTTTGGAACAAAGTGCGGCCCCATCATGGAAGACCTGGAGAATTTTTACTTCCTTTAACCACAAACACTGGCATACAAAACAAAATGTGCAAAAATGTGACTAGAGGGGGAAAAAAAACTAATAGAAGCAGATGCCAAGATCATCCAAACATTGGGGTTAGTGGACACAAACTTTAAAATAGCTATTATTGGGGCACCTGGGTGGCTCAGTCAGTTGAGCTTCCGACTTCGGCTCAGGTCATGATCTCACCGTTCGTGGGTTCGAGCCCCGCATCGGGCTCTGTGCTGACAACTAGCTCAGAGCCTGGAACCTGTTTCGGATTCTGTGCCTCCCTCTCTCTCTGACCCTCCACTGCTCATGCTTGCTCTCTATTTCTCTCTCTCTCTCTCTCTCTCTCACACACACACACACACAGAGAAATAATAAAACATTTTTTAAAAATAGCTATTATTAATGTTAAAGAAATTAGAAGATAAAAAGCACAGAATTTTCAAAAAACGGAGAAAACTACTGAGATGCCATTATCTCCCTATGAGATTTGCAAAAGTCAAAATTTTTGATGCAACACATTGTGTTGGCTATGCTGTGGGGTCGTGGGCACTGTCACATGTTGTGGGTAGAATGGCAAAATGATATGATCCCTGCTGAGGGAAATATGCAAAACTATGGAAGCATTACTGATGTGATTTGAAGTGTGGGTTTGAAAGCGAATGGCTAAGAAAGAATTCTTGAGACCTTTTTACTGCAAAAAGGTTATTTTATTATTGCACAGGGACAGGACACATGGGCAGAAAGAGCTGCACTGGGATTGTGAGGAGTGGCTGATTACATACTTTTTATTAGTGCGTGTTAGGGATAGCTTAAGTCTCTAAGGCATTTGGAAGCAAGGCTTTCGGGACCTTAAGGGGCTAGCTGCTGTTAAGATAAGGTTACTCTTGGGGTGCCTGGGTGGCTCAGTCAGTTAAGCATCTGACTTCATCTCAAGTCATGACACTTCGTCTCAGGTCATGATCTCACGGTTTGTGGGTTGGAGTCCCACATCAGGCTCTGTGCTGACAGCTCAGAGCCTGGAGCCTTATATGGATTCTGTGTCTCCCTCGCTCTCTGCCCCTCCCCCTGCTTTGGATTCTGTGTCTCTCTCTCCTAAAAATAAATAATAAAACATTTTATTTTTTTTAATTTTTTAAGGTTTTTTTTATTTATTTCTAGGAGAGAGAGAGAGAGACAGCGTGAGCAGGGGAGGGTCAGAGAGAGAGGGAGTCACAGACTGAAACAGGCTCCAGGCTCTGAGCTGGCAGTCAGCACAGAGCCCGACGCGGGGCTCGAACCCACGAACCGCGAGATCATGACCTAAGCGAAAGTCGGACGCTTAACCGACTAAGCCACCCAGGCGCCCCTAAAACATTTTAAAAAATAAAAAAAAATAAGGTTACTCTTGGGGAACTTGGGTGGTTCAGTCCCTTGAGCATCCATGTCTTGATAGGGGCTCAGATTGTGATCTCAAGGTTGTGGGACTGAGCCCTGCAATGGGCTCCATGACCATTCTCTCTCTGCCCCACCCCCACCCCCACTCTCCTGCACAAGTGCCTTGAGGAAGGTCACTCTGCATGTACTCGGTATCTATCAGTGGGCTTCAAGTTGTAAGGAAATTTACTACTTTTTCTAGCCTTTGTTCTCCTCATCAATTACTGCTTTAACGTTCTCAGTTTCATAATTTATCTAATAGGTAATACCTGTACACATACTTAAAACTGACACTGGTATAGGGTTATTAATTGCTGCATTTGTCACATTGAATGAGCAACTCAAATATCCATTAATAGGGAGCATGTAAAATTGTTACATCCACACTAGCTTTAAAAGAATGAGAAAGATGTCTGTGAAAAGACATGGCACATTTCTAGGACATATTACATGATAAAAAAAAATAAGGCATCTAGTGTAAGAAATAAGGCATCCTTTTGTGTAAGAAAGGGGAAGAAGATAGGGAAAAGTACACCAATATTAGTCTCTGCAAACAAACTAATAAATCTTTAGAGAGAGATGGGGGTAGATTAGGGAATGGGCTGGGAAGAATGGGCAGAGGTAGGAGCAATAATTCTCTGCATAACTTT